GGGTGCGGCAGGGGGTGTGGACAGGGGGTGGCTGTGGGCAGGGGGTGCGGGCAGGGGCTGCGGGCAGGGGGTGCAGGTTCTGACACGGGGCGAGCGGCTCTGAGCAGCCCGAGCAGCAGGACGCAGCCCAGGCCCAGCAGAGCAGCCGGGGACCCACCAGGCAGCAGCGGGAGCCCCAGGGCCAGAGGTCCCAGGAGCAGCAACAGGGCCAGGAGGCTGCCCACATGGCTCCCGCAGCGCAGCGCCCCCGGGTGGCCGGGAGGAGGAATTACACGCTTCCCGGCCAGAGCCCATCAAAGCTTCTCTCGCAGGGAAGCCAGTTAACAAGCGGTTCTAAAACAGCTTCAAAATTTAACAACCGGTTCGTGCGAACCGGCTCCAGCTCACCCCTGATTGCATCCTCTCGATGGCTTCCTCTCCATCAGTGGTTTTCAACCTATTTACCATTGTGAGCTGCACATGCAGCTCTCTGTGTTATGTGGGCCGCATCCACCCAATATATATACTACCTGAATGGCTCTGAGGATGTCACATGGGCCACAGCTGTGTGCTGATTGGGCCGTGGATTGAGACCCACTGCTCTACACTGAGAGATGTCTTGTTTCCAGGCTCCATTGCAAAACCCTAGTGTAAGCAAGGTAATGCTGCTAATTGTCACCAGTGTAGCTTATCCTGGTTTCATGCAGAGATAAGCGACACCAGTTCAAGACACCATTGACCCTGTCTACAACGGGACTGTATTAGACCAGCTACACTGAAGACTGGAATCAGGGCAAAACCTTAGTATATGCTTTGCCCAGCTGGAAAAGCTGGATTCTAAAGGTCTTGGCTACAGTGGCAACAGACACAGATACTGCTAAACTAGTCATTATTCATAGCGGGTGGGATATTCCCGCCAACAGAGCCTCGAAGAGGAAATGTTACTTTATGGAAGCGCTTGTCCTGTTGCAGAATGGAAAGCGCACTGTCGCGTTGAGAGGCGAGGATGTTTCTCATGGAAATTACTGTATAACTGTAGTTAAGCTACATAAATCAGCCGTTGTATCCCGCAATTTGTAAGGCAGTTGTTAAAGAAAAAATAAACCACAGCCCTTCTGGTTTGTGTATCCAGGAATCCTTTAATGTTTTTCAACTTTACAGCTTGCCGTTTTGAACAGTTCACCAGCTCAGCTGACGGGATTCACGATGAAACCTGCCAGCTTGCAAATTGCATGAGCCCTAATTAGATCACGGCATCGGAATGTGATGTGTTTGGTCTTTGCAGAGGTGTGGCCATTCAAATGAGCAAGGGACTTTATGCGCCAATAAATAAAACCTTTTTTTGTTGGGGTCGGTGGGAGGGTTGCTATAAAGAATTTCTCCTGTTCCTATTTCCTTTTATGCATCAATCCCATTTCTAGCTCCTGTGCTTAAAACACAACAGCACAGGACCCAAAGAACAAAACGCAGCCAATAGGGCATGTACGATATTAGGCATTGTTTGACAAGTCTCCTCTGTAGCTCCTGAATGAGTGTGAAAACACAGGCGTGTGATCCATGCCAGGTTAATGAATGTATCCCCCCCCCTCCCGCCAATCCTCTGTTTCAATGCCACAGCTTCATTTCCTGTACTTTAACCATTGCATTTTGCAAATACGATGCAGTTGCACTGACTGGTTAAGTGAGGAAAGTCAGCGGAGAGGCAGACAATTCTGCCAAGATCAAGAGGGAGGAAAGCAGACGCAAAATGGGGTGCTAGCATCTCCTAACACAAAATCGGCTTTATTGTAAGATTTAACATATGTACAGATATATAGAGACAGAGGAGGATGAAAGCAGATAAATAAAAATGGACTGAAAGCTAGAGTCTGAATAATGCCTTATTTTACATTGCCGAGGTTTGTCATGAGATTCTGATAGACTGTTACTGAACTAAAGGTGGAACTGCGTGTGATGGTGCACCCCATAAGGCTTCATGGGAATACGGTTATGAATGTATATATGATATAACTGGAATATATTTATGCTACATATGCCATGTAACATATCTATGTAAAGGTTATGATCTACTGAATACATTCCTCCTATTTGTATGCATGTATCATTTTTGTACTTGAAGTTAGGAATATTGGCTGTATAGTTGCTTGATTTCTAAGTAGCCTTTGTAAAGCATTTGGTCAGCTTCTTGAGAAAGGAATGTGCAAATTAAGTGCCCAGTCAAGAAGCACTTAAGAGACAATGGATCTTGGGAGGCTCCAATCCACATAAGAAGTCTAGATGAGGACGTTCAAGGTAGCAGGTAAGCCATGGCTGCTGCCTGTAAAAACTGAGTCATGCAGGGACATGTGACTTGCCCATGTGACTCCAAAACTCCATCTTGGAGCTGGACTTTGCATAGGAGAGAGGAGGGAGTCTCCACCCACAAGAGATAGTCTACTTAAACCCCTGGGAGACCCCTCCATTTTGTTTTCAGCTGGCTAAAGAGATACCCTCTCCACCCCCAAGGATACCTGAAAGAGACTGGAACAAAGGATAGTAACTACAGGGGGTGTGAGTGATTGCTGGACCCAGACTAGAAGGAGACTAGTCTGTAAAAGGAAGCTTACTGGAACTGGTGAGGTTTTATTTGTATTCAGTTTTCTTAGTCATAGACTTGCGTGTTCTATTTTATTTTACTTGGTAATTCACTTTGTTCTGTTTGTTACTACTTGGAACCACTTAAATCCTACTTTCTGTATTTAATAAAATCATTTTTTACTTATTAATTAACCCAGAGTATGCATTAATACCGGGGGGGGGGGCGGGGAAACAGCTGTGCATATCTCTCTATCAGTGTTATAGAGGGCGAACAATTTATGAGTATAACAATTTATACAGGGTAAAATGGATTTATTTGGGGTTTGGACCCCGCTGGGAGTTGGGCATCTGAGTGTTAAAGACAGGAACACTTCTGTAAGCTGCTTTCAGTTAACTCTGCAGCTTTGGGGCACGTGGTTCAGACCCTGGGTCTGTGTTGGAGCAGACTGGCATGTCTGGCTCAACAAGACAGGGTGCTGGAGTCCCAGGCTGGCAGGGAAAGCAGGGGCAGAAGTAGTCTTGGCACATCAGTTGGCAGTTCCCAAGGGGGTTTCTGTGATCCAATCCGTCACACTGCACATAGCAGAGGATGTGTTTATAGTCAAGGTGGTACTGTACTGTGGCTTTAAAAAACACCAGGCCACTGGTTTAAATCTGCATCATTCTATTGACTTCAACTGAGTTGCCTTACACCAGCTGAGGATCTGGGTCACTGGGTTATGCCTGATGTCAGCTCAGTGGTGAGACATATACAATTGGTCATTTAATTTTTTTTCAGGGTGCTGTGATGACATGGTTGTGGCTAGAAGTTGGTTTCTAACATAGAGATAATTATTTACAGTCGGCTATACTTATTTCTTGGAACAGCCTCGCCTTATGCCAACCTAAAGAGAACTCAAGATCTCAGCTTGGACTATACTAGTGAGAATGGAAATGACTTCTAAAGGGTCATGAAGGGAATCTGAGACTTTAAGTAGCTTCTATAGGAATTATACTAAAAATGAGGCAGTAGGTGCGGAGAAGTCACATTGGTTCATTTCAGCTAGCATGTCCAAGAGTATAAGAACAGTAGGTTGAGGATACAAATACCATTAGTTGGTCACAACTACAGCTAGTTGGAAATTTTTCATCAAAATTTGTTCCCCCCCCCTGCAAATTTTGTCAAATTAGAATGTTTTGAAAAACATGTCGATTTTGATGAATTTTCTCCACACCCCAAGAAGCATTTTAATAAGGTTGAAACATCCAATTTTGACATATTGGGACTAGAACATTTTCATTTTTCAGTTCAAGATGACTTCTCCAAAAACATTTTTTTATCTAAAAACATTTGAAAGTTTTGAGATCGAAATGGGAATGAAATGTTTCAGTTTTATTGAAATGAAACGTTTTGATTGACCCCCAAACTTTTTTTGGAATTTGGTTTCACTGGAGATAAAAGATTTTGTTTTCGTTCCATTTCAGAAAGGAAAAAATGCCCAAAAGCACAGAATTTCCTGTGACATGGTAACTCTCGGTCCTGCCCACTGCTATTGCAATTACCATGTTAGGTGACTGCAGGACGTATCTCCAGAGGTTCCCTGCCTCCGCTCATGACCGAAGCCAAATGCAATGACATGTTACTCACACGAGGATTCACATGGATCATTCTTAAACTAAATGTTATTTTAAAATACTGAGGTGGCCTCCAACCCTCTTTTAGGAAGCTTCCCTCGCTCCTGCCCATGGGGGGAGAGGGGTGAACGGACAGAACTTGGACAACTGTGGAGTGACCTTTGCAAACGTCTAGCAGCACATTTTTGAAGTGTTGGGCTGGGTTTTAGCCACGTGACCCCCATTCGAGGCAGTGGGGAGCGGGCACTTTAAATCCACTGCAAATTCTTGAATACTGATGGGTCCAATCACTGACTTCTCTACACCAACCCAAGAGGAAAGCAACTCACTCCACTGACGCCACCAGAATTATCATAGAATCATAGAATATCAGGGTTGGAAGGGACCTCTCAGGAGGTCATCTAGTCCAACCCCCTGCTCAAAGCAGGACCAATCCCCAACTAAATCATCCCAGCCAGGGCTTTGTCAAGCCTGACCTTAAAAACCTCTAAGGAAGTAGATTCCACCACCTCCCTAGGTAACCCATTCCAGTGCTTCACCACCCTCCTAGTGAAATAGTTTTTCCTAATATCCAACCTAAACCTCCCCCAGCATGTATCTGGCCCACTGAGTTAACTCTCACAGCTACCAGCCTGGACAACACTGCTTTCAAATGCAGACAGATGCCCTGGTTTCACAACAATGGAGACTTGCGGAAGAGACATAGTGGGTGTGTGGTGTGACAGCTGGGGCTGCTTTGCCAGACACTGTGGGCTGGAAATCCCTGTCAGGAACAGGCAGCAAGATTCTTATTGGGACTTAGTTGCTTGAGTAGCGAGGTGGAGCCGGAGCTCTGTAAGCACAACTCGGCAGGATTTCCCTGTCCCACGGGACTGCCTCCTCCTCGCTGTCCAGCCCTTTGGAGAATGTGTTGAGGGAAATAAAGGTGAAGCTCTGAGCTGAGGCCGGGCATTGTTAGTAAAATTGCAGTGTCGGGAGGCTCCATCTTCTTCAGGGTCGATGGGTCATCACAGGCTTCTGCAAGGCACCAAGACACTGAACTGAAAACCTCAGGGCTACAGGATCGAACACACGAATCTCATTCGCCCCGGGACTCGCGCTGTTTGCTTCCCGTTTCCCTTCTCCCAACAAGCTGCGTGCCTCTCCTCCTGCAATCTCCACTCGCCGTGGGCTGCCCTCGCTGCCCCTTCCAGAGCAGGAGATGAAGCCACCAGCACGTCTCCCTGGGGAGACGTACCCCTGGAAGATCCAACTGCCTCCTTTCATCATGCCCATGTCAGTCTCATGCGTGCTGCTGACCTAGTCACATGCCTTGAGATCAGCTCTGCACTCAACAGCTCCATGTCTTGCCTAGCGGGCTCCAGTGACCGCACACTGGCTAAGGGTGGGCAGGCTGAACCACACCACAGAGGAGTGGTTGCTGGTCTCTGGGCACCATTGGTGTCTCAGAGGTTTCAGCAGTGGAGCCCCATGGAGGCACCAGGAATATCTTGACCAACATTAGAGGGGTGAAATACAGTTTGCTAAGACTTCTGTGCTAATTTATTGATGTAGCAAAATGCCCAGACCCTGTATGGCCGATCAGCAAGAACTCTAAGCAACCCTCCGCTCCTTTCAACCCCCAGTGTGTGTGGGGGGCATCTGGCACTAAGGAGCAGGACCGGACCCACAGCTGCAGGAATGGCCTCTTTGCATACCCCTCCCCCCCACACTCAGGTAAAGCCCTGAGCTGAGCCAGACCAGAGCTTGGCAGCCCTAATCGGCTTCCTGCCTCTGCAGGTTGAATGAAACCCCTCCAATCACGTGTCGGGTCAATAAGTGAGAGTCTGGAAGGTTACCGCGAAGACGCGATCTGCTTTCCTGTTCTTCCCGTTGGGGTTCCTCTGTGTCAAAGAGCCTCGGTAAATGGAGTTTCGATCAAAGGATTCGTCGCCGTCTTTACAAAAATAAAAGATAAAATAGCTTACGTTGGTGGTGTTGATCTAAGATCACGCCTGGGTGACAAGAAATGCACCTGGCTCTTTTGAAATAGCTTCCTTGCCCTGCTCCGGGCCTGAGTCTCCTCTGACTCACAGCAGTTTTACACGGGTGTGTAATCAGTGAGTTACTCCCGATTGACACTACTGTAAACCAGAAGAGAATTAGACCCTTCATATTCGAGGCGAACAGCGCGTGAGCCAGGTCATATTCCACCTCAGTCAGAGGTGTCAATTACTCACTCAGCCACTGTTGTTATTTCCATTCATAATTCAGTATCTACATTTCCTGAATGTGCCTGAACAATTCAACCAACGGCCTCCTGGTTATTCAGCCAGCTGCTCGCCTCCGCGTACTCATGATTCTAGCAGTGACTCCTGATTTATATTTATATGTCCCCCCTCTTCCCGTTCAGGGAAACAGGAGGAATCCACCTTGGAGACGATCTGAGAGGCAGCTTCACAGAATCTATTACAGTAGCGTGTCCAGCTACCCTGGAAGTGGCTTGATAATTTCTCAGAACAGGTTCTTGGCCAGCATAGACAAGGGGTGTTCAGAGTGCAGGTGAGAGCACCATGTGGCTGTCTTACAGCCGGACGGTACTGTCTGCATGTGGAAATGTAACTCCCAGCTAAAGGCCTGGTTCTCCTTGACTTTGCATCTGTGTAGTCTTTACGCCAGTGGGTTCTCTTTTGACCTGGTCCCATGACTGCGGTGGGACCAGATCAAACTCAGTGAGATAGTCGGAGAAATAACAGCAACTCTTGACTTGTGCTCAAATTAGTCCAGTCACCTTCACTGCTGCTGTTCAGAGTAGACACCAGGGCACCTAGGCACCATGGCAGGTGCATTAGAAAGATAAGGGGCCAGATCCTCTGTCCCTCCCATGCCCCCTGCAGCACAGATGGGACTGTTGTAAGGCAGCAGCTGGGGATTCTCCTAGCAGAGGGATCCTCAGCTGGCCTGGGGGGTTGTGCTGAGGCAGGGCTGTGGTTCCTTGGGAGCCATCCTCCACCAGCACCAGCGGGAGGTGCACATACTGGCCACCCGAGCACCGCAGATGGGGAAGGAGAATTCGCCTGGCAGAGGAACAGCACCGGGCGCTGTAAGTGGCTCTCCATTGCTCCTCCCTCAGAGGCCCTGCGGAGGTGCTTGCCGGGGCTGGAGGCCGGAGGAGAGGTTTTGGGCTGGATGGGGAGTGGATTAGCTGCTATGGCCATTCTGGGCTGTGAACAGCTCTTAGGCAGCCCTTGGGAGGCTGCTGGAGCTTAGAGCAGATCCCTGCAGCAGCCCAGAAATAAGCTGGTTTTAAGCCCCTTGTGTGCCAGCTTTGCCCATCCACTCCCTGGGGTGCATCTTTTGCGCTGTGCTTCCAGGAGCCCTCTGCCCAAAAGAACAAAGGCTCACGTACCCGCTACAGCTGGGTTCTGCGTACACAAGGTCTTTACGGGATCACTCTGGTCAGAGCAATGGCTGCTCTTTGAAAGCAGGGCCGCGTTTACTCTCCTGCAATGATCCCACAGCAAATCTACTCAGTTCACAAGATCAGGCAAGGTCTGCACTGCCAGCTCAACCTGCTGGCTACATATTGAGCCGCGGCCCCTCGGCCTCATGCCTCATCATTAACAAGAAAGAGGCTGGAACTAGAAAGTAGCTGAGGATGTAGCGGATATAGGAGCGGAATGGAATGCAGCCTGTTCTTCAGCAGCTACGCTGGCACTGGAGCGGGGCCGGAGATACAGACTTGTTTCTGTCAAACTAAGACAGGCTTCAAAAGGGATAACCACTGTTCTGATCCTGACTGTGCACTGAATTTTAAACGATCAAGGGTTTTTCTTTTAAAATCTATTTGCCGGAGGTTCTTAGCGACGGAGAAAGACAAAACACAACATTCTGCATAAAAACCGCAGTACCACCGAAACACGGACTCGGGTTCCTACGCTTAAAGCATCAGACAAAGCCGGGGTATCATCTGCAATTCTCCCTTCCTGCACTCAGAGCAGAGCAGCTGGTGGGCTCTCTGGTTCTCGCGTGGTTCTGCTCTTGGCAGACCTTGCAAACACCTTTCTGATAGGAAAGTCCTCGGGTGTGCTGGAGCTGTGGGGAGGAGGGGCAAAGGGAGCCTTACAAGAGCTTTTTGTCTCCCCTGGGAACCGCTCAGCCTGTCTCTGCCATTACACTGCCTGGAGATCATGGTGCATTCCAGACATGTCCCCAACCCAGCCCTGTTATGCCTGCCTACACTGGAGGAGCTGGGAGGAATTCTCTGCTGCACAGTTCGGTCACCTTCAGCGACTCTCTGCACCACTGAAGCCTTAGCACGGGCCAGGATCTGGCCCCATGTTGGGCATGGAGGCTCCGAATAGCAGGTTAATCACTTCAATTCCTTGGTAAAGGGACACAATGGGCCAAAATCCCCCTTGGAGTAAGCAGATGCCACTTGGCTGATTTCCAAACAGTTGGGCCCACTTACAGCCAGGCTGAGCGTGGCCCATTTTTGTGGTACATGGCTGCATCCGAAACCCCAGCTACAGGGGTTCTTGCCGCAGCGAGGCACAGACCGGCCTATTGGTCTCCACTGCGGCATACGGTAGCAAAGTATAAACTCCCGTTAGTTAGCCCGCCGCATTGAGGGGGACTGCATGGTACACTGTGTAATGGAAACGTCCTTAGCACCAGCAAGTCCCCCTCTGAACTCCCGACATCCCTACGGACCCGGAAAAGCCGGGCTTAACGAGGCAGCTTTTTGAACCTCTACATAATCTCCCATTCGCTCTCGCCTCATTCCAATTTCCCCTATCTGCATCCTCCCCTGCACACCCTTGCACGTCGTTGACCTGTGGGGAGAGTGGCGAGGAGATACAGAGTCATTCCGCTCCCCTGTGGGGGCGCCTGGGGGATTAGCCTCCTGCCCTGACGTCAGCGGATTGCCCATCGCTCTCTCTGCATGCCTGGAGCGCAGCACCCCGGTTATCTAGCTGCCCTTTCAGGGGAAGAGCCAGTGACCCCTCCTCACCAACAGAGTGAAGGGACCTCGCTCCTTGTGAGATTCAGACCAGGAAACGTGCCTTGCAATTTGCTTTTAATTGGCTGGGGGGGGGGGAGGGATGGTAAAGTCATTCTCTGTATTCAATGATTGCTTTTCCCTTTCCTCGCCACTCCTTCCCCTGCTCAGCACTTATCTAGAAGGAGAGCAGCTCTTTCTTCAATCCCGCCTGCAAGCTTATGATTCAAGATAAGAGAGAAGTGGAAAAATCATTTCCTAAGGGCTCTTGCCGACAGCGGCCAGGGCCTAACATATCCAGAGACCTTCCCTTCGCCTGGCCACGGCGGCTAGCTTTCGGGTCTTCGTCTTCTCTGAGACACTTCTAGCAGCTGTAGCGTAGCTGGGCTCCTGCCCCTGGAGAAGAGGTCAGAATGGTGATGGTCCGGGGACTGCAAAGATGCTCACATCGAGGAAAAACCCAACAGGGGAGGGGCAAATATCGTAGACATGAGGAAGAGGGGGAATGCTGACGATCTGTATTGCCTTAGGGGAGTGGAGAGTACAGAATTCTGTTCTCTGCTGGGAGGGGGCCAGGAAGATTTTTAGCCTTTTGCCTCAATCTGGCCAGCGGACTCTACTTCCTTTCCTGGATCCTGCAGGCCTAGTTCTAAAATCCCACTCCCCTGCACTTGCCATACCAGCTCCCTGGTTGAAAACCATGGCCGGAGGCCAGACAGATGTGACTTCCAGCCCCCACAGTGTGGGACATGAGTCCCCACAGGGTTCGACATTACCCCCACCCTTTCCTCAGACACAAGCAGAGAACACAAACCTTACCGCCAATTTCAAGAGAACTGTTGAATTTTCTCCTTAACACCTGTGGCATAGACATTACCTAGAAGAGAAAGGAGAGGAGTCGTCGTTAATCTCTGGGACTGTTTCCTTTCTCTCAAAGCGCTGTGTGAGGGGGGCAGTGGATAGCCTTAAAGCTAGGCTCTCCGTCTGGGTTTAGGAAAGATACCAGTCTCCAACACGCCTTCGCATGGCCATCCCGGTCAGAATCAGTCAGCTGAGTGTGTACCGGTGGGGACGCTGTGTTTACTAGCTGACTGTACCCAGAGTACACGGCAGGTGGGTGGGGGGGAGACACACAAGGGGAAAAGCAAAGCAAAGATCATTGTTTAATTCTTCCCCAACACAGAACTCTATTTGACAAGAGAAATCCTGACAGCCCTCCTGGAACTAATTCTCGTGCTAGGAAGCTGTACCTTAGACAGCACTTTGTTAACCTCCAGGTGAATGGTTGGGAGGCTGGCCACCATACAGAAGCCTGCATTCTCCAGAGGGCTACGAGATAGTATTGCACATTCAGAATGAAAATAATGCAGCATTCGTAACAGGTACCAGATTTGTGGCCCGATAGTCAGAGGGACCCTCTATAATAGCTACCAAACAGCTAGCACCAGTGCAAACTGCCCTAAGCGGCTATGCCGTCATGCCTCAGCCCTGAGCCGGAGTAATCGCTTTAGCCCCGAGTCAACAAAGCATTTACGCGTCTGCTTAAGTCTACTCCGATTCAGCCATGTTTTGCTGACTAGGGATAATTTGAGTCGGTGGACCAGTGGCTGCCTCATAACACGCCCTGGTGGCCTCAGAACGGCCCTGCATGCGGCCCCTCCTCTGTTTCCCCTCTTGGATCCCCAAATAAACTCCATGCAGGGTTTTCCCAGTCAAACCATAACAGCCCTCCTTGGGGTCTGATTTATTAACTCAAAGCTCAGAACTAAACACCCCTCAACGGGGTACAGCCCAAATGCCCCGGTCTGGTCAGAGCCCTTCCTGCCTTAGCAAGCTATGCCCAGCCCTTCCTAGCTGCAGCCATTCTCCTGGTCTCAGGGTCTGCAGTCTCACTACAGCCCCCAGAGCTTCCGCCTCACTGCAGCCATCTTCTGCAGGAAATTCCCTGGTTCCCTTCAGGCGGGGCTCATCCCGTTATCAGGGTTGGCTTGGTCCCAGGCTCTCCAGCCCAAGGCAAGCCACCCTGCTCCAGGGCCCTTTATGTAGGAGAGAACAGTGCAGTTCCCATGCCCATTACTGGCCTTTCTGCTGAGTCTGCCAACAGCAGCTACCCATTATGGATGGTGATACATCTGTGACGTGGAAATGTGTCCATTAGGAATTGGCTGAGTCCCCCAAGCACATTTCACACGGGTTACCTGATGTCTCTTCAAAGGGTAGTGGCCAGAATCACTCCAGCCTACCCAAGGTTTCTCTGGTTTGTTTTAATCACCTCACTGATAGCCAGGAGACATCTGTGTACTCACTTTGAAGTCATTTGGTGATGCCATCTCTGAAGAGTCCGTACTTTGATCTCCTGGGCTGCTACCTGCGTTCCTGGGAGGCTGGAGCATAAACAGCTTGGGACAGGAGAAATGTAAAAGATTTCTATGACTTCTTCAGTGCCAAAGGACAAGCGAGAGGCACAACTGTCCAGTGGGCTGACCACAGCAGCTGGGACATTTGCAGCACTGGTTCTCCAATGCAACTCATTCACCATGGTGATATCAAGGGAGCTATGAGTTACATTAACTGATGGCTCAAAGAGTGGCATTGAGTGAATAGCTGATCCTGTGGGTAGAGCACTGGGTACTAGGCCCAACCCTGATACTAAACGAGGTAACTTAGGGCAAGGTACACCACCTCTTTGTTTCCCCTCCCAGCGTTTGACTGTCATAGAATCATAGACTATCAGGGTTGGAAGGGACCTCAGGAGGTCATCTAGTCCAACCTCCTGCTCAAAGCAGGACCAATCCCCAAACAGATTTTTGCCCCAGATCCCTAAATGGCTCCCTCAAGGATTGAACTCACAACTGTGGGTTTAGCAGGCCAATGCTCAAACCACTGAGCTATCCCCCTCCCAATCTTGTCTGTTTAGATTGGAAGTGTGTCCCGCGCGATCTTGCTGCCAACTGGCAGAGTGCATAAGAGTTACAGGAATCTCCGGGGTCTGGCATTTACATTCTGGTTCATCAAAGAGTGTCACGTGAGATGTCTACATAAAGCCGGTGTCACACTGGTCATCAGTGTCATTGTGAAATGCGTGTGCATGTGTTGTGGAAAGAGTTACGAACCTACACTGAAAATTATGTTCTTAAGGTCTAAGGACTGGTGAAAAGCAGGTGTTCTTTCAGACAAGAAACATTTATCGGTCTGTTTACATGTAAATTAAGTCTTGTTTGGTTCACACTGGGCCTCCACTCACAAGCCTGAGCCGAATGCTAATGAAGCTTGTGGAATCTTCATAGAAAGGAAATTCACAGGAAGAGGAAAACAGCAAGAGTTTTTCTGTTCAGGGGCAATACACTGAACTTCGGAAACCATATCTGAGGTACATACGAAATACTGTGCATTCCTTCAGTTTGTGAGGACAACTTATCAGCAGGCTTGAGCCTATGAGAAGGGATCTCAACCAAACCAGCTGAAAACACTAGGGAAAGTACTTGGGGTAAGTTTGCTTTCTTGGAGGAGGTAAGGGAATACCTTGTTAGTTAAGTTTGGCTCCAGAAAGCACATTCTGATTTTGTTTTATATGTAACCACTTGTTTCCAATATCCTTTCCCACTCTCACTTGAATCTCTGTTCTTTGATAATAAACAAATCCTTGTTTTCATCATAGACAGAGAGACTGGGAGTGAGCTAACAGTTGTGGTGATGCCAAGTTCCATCCTGCACGGGGGTATGTGCTGTTCCTTTGGGAGTGTTGTGAGAATTCAGTGGAGCAGAGGTGGGGCACTACAGAGGGGTTGGTGTGTACCCATTGCTAACCTGCACAGAGACAGTGAGGCCTGCAAAGGCCCGGCAGGCCGTGCTTGTGTTGCCAGAGGCTGTTGGTTTCAGGCATGGACAAGGCTGCTTCCCACTAAGGGCACGTGGTACCTCCCAACCCTGGCTACTCCGGGGGAGTGTCACAGTGTGGTTTTAGGGGCAGGGCTGGTCTCCTACAGTGTGTGTGGACAGTGCCTAGCCCCGTGGTGTCCTGGGACCTCTAAGCACCACCACAATTCCAATAACAACAGCCAGGAGATAAAATCCCCTTTTACCATATGGATCTCAGCTCCCCTTGGCTGACTGATCCTAAGAAGGTGGGAAAGTTCTCGTGTCCCAGTTTTAAGGGGTGGTACGCTGACATGGCAATGGTTGCGGCAGATGAGGATCTCATGTCTAAAATGAATGGGGAAAACTGAAGATTTCCTGTAACAGATGGGTGGGATTTCTTTCTTATAAAGGAGGAGGAGACAGTGTGCAGTAAACGAGTTCCTTATGAACAGAGGGCAAGGGGCATGTAAATATGTAAATATATGTGCAGTGTCTAGAGCACTGGAGTGGGACTCAGGAGACCTGACTTCTATTCCCAGGCCTGCCACTGGCCTGCTGGGTAACCTTGGGCAAGTCACTTCCCCTCTCTGTGCCTCAGTTTCCCCATGTGTGAGAGGGGGATAATGCTACTGCCTGCCTCTGCAGAGCACTTTGAGATATGCTGATGGCAAGTGCTGTAAAAGAGCTAGGGACTGTTATCCCAGAGCTGTTTTGTTTATACCGTATGTAGAATAGCACTTGGGTTAAGGGCCTGATGCAGGAACCGGCAGGGGAAGCTTTTAGTCCTGGGCTATTCAGGTGGTCAGACCAGATGGTCATAACCGTCCCTTCTGGCTTTAACACAGGGGTTCTCAAACTGGGGGTCAGGACCCCTCAGGGGGTCACATGGTTATTACATGGGGGGTCGTGCGCTGTCAATCTCCACCCCAAACCCCGCTTTGCCTCCAGCATTTATAATGGTGTTAAATATATAAAAGAGTGTTTTTAATTTGTAAGGGGGGGGGTCACACTCAGAGGCTTGCTACGTGAAAGAGGTCACCAGTACAAAAGTTTGAGAACCCCTGTATCCCATGCACATCTGAATGCTGGGTACACCCTCTGCAGGCAGACACACTCACCTGTGTGCTGTATTTCTTCTTTGGCTTTTCCACTGGTTTCACTGTCAGCCCAGCAGCACTCAGAGCTGCGATTCGAGACTCTATATCGGAAACCTAAGAGAAAAAATGCACATAACTTCCCACAGGTGCACCCCCAGAAACGACCACGGGAGCTGGGCAGATCCCAACCACCACCAATTCCTCTGGCGCCACCTCCACTGCAGCCACCGGCCCCAGTGCCTCGCCCGCCAGGTACATGCCATGCTCAGCCCCCGCTGGGTTGGAGAGTGAGCCCACCCTGCACTTATTCCGCAGCAGTGGTTCCTGTCCCTCTCCGCCCTGAGTGTTGCAACATGGTGCATGGCATTGCAGCGCCACTCAGGTCTGGCCCAGCCGCCCCTCCATAGATGGAGACAGAAGGGTGGATGGGCCAAATTTGATTGGTGTTGTGACCTAGAGAAAGGGGGTCGCGGCGCCAGTCAGGTTTGGCCTGCCCACCCCTCCAGACAGACCAAACCTGAATGGCACTGTATCCCGCACGTGCAGGGTGCGCTATCACTCGGTTTGGGGGCCCTCGGCAAATTGCCCCCCGACTGCCCTGCTGCCAGTGATATACACTGTGCGTAATGTGCGTACGGCTGTGAAAACCACTATCAGTATGGCAGTGTAAAGGAAACGCTCATTCAGAGTTTATTTTCTTACTGAGTAAATGATGAAGCATTTAGTCGTTGCCCCAGCGCTGTGTTTGTACAGTGCCTAGCACAGCTGGGAGTCTGATCTGAGACTACAGCCCCTAGGCACTAATAAATAACAATGCAAGAACCAGCCTGACCTCGCTGGCTCACCCACTTTGTACAATTGAGCTATTACCTCGCTCTCGGCACGCTGCATCTGCACGGCTGCTGATGCCACTTTGTCCTCCAGCTCTGACAGCTCAGAGTCTGTGGTCCCGCTGTGCCGCGCACGTTCCTCTAGGTCCCTCGGGGTTTGGTCCAGCCCGGATGTCTTCCCAGCAGTCGTGCAGACCTGAAAAAAAGCCCTCGTGTGACTCACCTCGCAGTCAGGCATCGTCTGTTCTGCCGTCTTCCCATTCTAACCCCTGCAGCGTTGACACAGGCTGCTCTCTTATGTCTCGTTAGACAGTCCTCAGGTTACCATGGACTCAGCCCCAGATGGTCTCCATGACTGGCGAGATCAGCGCCGTATAACTGCAAACTTCTGTTTCGCTGAACAGTCTGTACCTTTGGACTCCTGCAGGGCTTCCTTCCCCTAAGTGACTGGGCCATTTCCTCCCCTTTGCTCTTTTTCAAAAGCAATTATCGCTATGGCGAAGCCGTAAAAGCTCCTTGTGAAATACCAGGACAAAACGCCACGACCTGAATGCGCGGTGTCAGCATCTGAGCAAGGATCCTCATGTCGTGCATCGAGACTAGGAGGTAGGCACTTAGAAACAAGCGCAGGCTGCTGTGTCCTGCTCCAGCATGTTTGTAAGGAGAAGAGAGAGCGAACAACACTGCCAGGTTGTGAACGCCTCCTGTCTTCTGTAGCTCTAAGAGCTCTGTGCGGTGTAGAGATGCTACACTTTGGGAGCTGGAGGCGTAATTAACTCACCAGTCCCTATCTATAGCATCCTTATGTTCTGAAAATACATTTTTGGGTAGGGATTCCTCCATGTGCCTACCAACAAGGTGTAGCATTCACATGCTGACTGGGGTCTATTTGAAGATATGTGTAAATGTTTCTTTCTAGATAAAAGGGTTAAAGAAACATTATTACCCATCCTAATACACCATTTGATTACCATTACGTTTTCGGTTTATTGAAAAATGCTTATTCTTGATGATTCCCATCAAATTCTAAAAAAAAAAGATTGGTTTACTTGATTTTGAGAGATTTTCATGAAAACGTACCATACATCATTTCATTGTTGTAGCTGTTGGTATTGTTATAGATCCAGTACAACCAACGTACAAAATAGTTGTATTCAGAGCCCTTTTTTTTGGTCTAAGCTTCTTGGGGCAGACACTGTCTTTTTGGTCTGTGTTTGTACAGCGCCTGGCACAATGACATCCCGGTCCCTGATTAGGGCTGCTCGGCACTATTGTAATACACCTAATAAATACAGGACAGTGCCCGGCACAATGGGGTCCTGCTTAAGGCTATGATTTTGGCATGGAAAATTGTTGGTAAATTTCACGGCAGAGGTGCTGGAAACAATCACGGAAAGTCACCGAATAATGTGGTTTTCTCTACATCAGCATACACATGTGTGTGTGTGTGTGAGGGTGTTTGGAAGGTAAGGCCCATGGGGGGGAGGGGTTGGAGAGCAAACCTACTTGACACTTACCCCATAGTGGCGGTTCCTGTCCTGGAGGGCTGGGCCCTGCTTCCTGCTCTGGGTGTTCCAACCTAGCACACAGGGTTGCCACGCCACTTAGGTTTGGCCCAGCTGCTCCTCAGTCTCCATTTATGGAGGTGCTGCCGGGCCAAAGCTGAGTGGTGCTGTGACCCCATGTGCTAGGTTGCAATGCCACTTGGTTGGGGAGCCTAATCAAATGGGTTTTTATAGCTGTTTCCAAGATGTCAATGATTTTATTCAAATTCATAATTTCCATGACAAAACTGTAACCATGCCTGGGGTTCCCAGGCACCATTGTAATACACCTAATAAATAACGTACAGCGCCTAGCGTCATGAGAACGTAAAAACATAAGAACATAGTACGTTCGTACTGAAGAGTACACACATTGAACACTTGATTCTAAGTGTTATGTTGAACAGAAGTGCCACGACTACCTTGATACCCATAAGGACTGAGTCAACGTTTGATTGTACGAGACATTAATAACTAATATGCAAAATAGCCCTGTTAAAGTAAGAGTGCCAGCGTACCGCTCACACGCTTTGCTGAATGATCCCATCATCTTATTACTGCAAATAGTCTCTCCTCCCCCATCCACGGCTCCCTGGCTTGCTGTCCCTGTGCTGTGTAATGTGTGAAGTCAGAGAGTTCACTCTCCAAGGCAGGAGGCCTTGCACTGGGAGGCACCTAGTACAGGGTAAAATAAATTCAAGTACTAAGAATCCAACCAGGGAAGAGAAACCTGCCATGTGCCCGAGGTGTCCAATGAAACCTGAAACATCAGAGTGTTGTGTATTTCGAACTAACTGCAATTATCTGCCCCAGCTATTTGGTAAATCGTTTCAGTGTGTCACTGACCATCACAATCTGTTGGTGGACAATTAAAAACCACTCCGAGAAGTTACTTTACAAACACTAATTAATGCTCGGAACATCCAGGGGACGGAGACGGGAGAGGGGAAATGACTCCCCCAGAGTGGCAGTATTACTCTGGAGTGGGCAGCTCCCACCTCGGCGATCTGGCTCCACCCCCTTCCTGTTGCTTGTGAACAACCTCGCTGAGGTGAGTACGAGCCCCCAATGGTTTTAGAAGGCACCTAAAGTCCATGGCTGGATTCCCTCTTTGTGGGGAGGAATTCAAAGATGGAAGCTGATGTGAAGGGTCACTGGGATGTAGCATTTCATTCAGAAACCAGCACCACTGTGGTATTTCTGAGAAAGTTTTGCCTTTTGTAGCTGTATTTTTATGACTAAACTCTCTGATGAATGAATGAAACACACAGTATAAAAACTATTCCCAAACTCAAAAGCAAAATCCACCAACCCAGACCTCACTTTGCTCACTAAAACTTCCAACACTATCTACCAAGGTCAAAAGAAATGACTTGGAGGTTTAACAGTTCCACTCCCAGTCAAGTGATCCATTTCCAATACACTATAACAATACTATACAGCATTACTTACTACAAAACACTGCATGGGAGATGCTACGCAATAGTGAAAATACAAACTTACCAGCTCTACCCACACTTGCATAATCCTACACTACCATATTAGCCACAGACCGATCACTCTATTCCTATTCATAAAAACACTCTCCCACTCCACTGACACACCGCACTATGAGAAATTGTATAGAACCTGAACATAACGTACTCCATGAGCCCTCTTCAAGCTTTACTACACATTGATCCAAACCCCAGTGTAGTTCATGGAAAGACTCAAGCTGACTCCAAAGGGCTTTGGATCAGGCCTTTACAAGTATAACGTCAGCGATATCCACCCAACAGCACACTTCCATTCCAGAACGGGGCAGGGGGCAAAGTAAAGTTTGGGTGGTTGGTAAGGGGTGAAGGAATGACATTTTAATTCAGACTTTCCCGCTACCATAGAATCGATCGAGTGACTAATAGTTAAATGGAGATGGTGTAAAACGGTCACAGGATAGGAGACCTGTGCCAATAGATCAAAGCTGGGCACACCTAGAGGGAGTGTGTGTGTGTGTGTGTGTGTGTGTTAGTTACACCTGGGTGGGATATGAAGTAGTAGATGGTTGAGGGCCATGACAGGGAGACTTCTCCCCATTTAAAACGGAACAGCTATGGTGGTTCCATCCCAGCCCAGGAACCTGCTACGCTGGGTCATCCTCCTGAGGTTGGCTTAGGAAGCCATACAGCACTGCTGACACACCAGAGGAGCTGATGCTGCACATGCTTTAAGACCTTTTAAACATGTCATTGTCTAGTTATATTAAAGTGGATAACAGACTCTGCCTTTCCCTGACCTCTATGCCCTTTCTCAATGGCCCCGGTCTCCTGTACAATCGTCACTCATTCCTCATCAACCTGCCATTCTCCTGAAGGAACCCCTCCTCCCACCTCTCCCAGTGCGAGAATGGACAACTTAGTAAAACATGCACAAGGGGCTAGAATATTGCTTGGAGGCAGTGGGCCAGTGTGACAGAATGTACCTGTGTCCACACCCTACACACTAGTGTAATAATCTTTGTACAAAGTACGCCTTGTGAAATATCATTTGAAAACTCATAATTTGCTGGTCACTATTGTCCTGATAAAATACATGCAACAACACTGTATGTGAAGATAGAAGATTCCACTGTACAGTGTTCTTAACACATCTTCCAAACTGAGGCTGGCAAACAGACCTGTCTCAAACAAAGGAATGGGGGCTCTGCTTAATTTGCATCTAAGCACTAAACAGAGTCATCAAGCAGGAAGGGAAACAAAAGACGCTCCAACAGGTGACGAAAAAGCAGCAGGGAACATCCTTCCCTATAGACTCTGTCTTCTGAATCTCAGCCGGAAATGTTTTCTAAGAGGGGGACTGACACTTTAAAAAGAGGGAAAAACACCCCAAGGCACCCCCTCCTCTCTCTCTCCATCGATTCACTGCACCAGAAGTCCCAAAGGAAGCAGCATTGAACTGGAGAAGGGGTCCTGACCTAAGAAGTTCGGTCAGTAAGACTGCTGAGAGCATGGGATGAGAAAACCTTTCTTTGAATTTAACATAGTTTGTTAAGTTAGGCACCAGCTGTGTTTAACCTTTATTTTTCACGTAACCATTTCTGACTGTTATGCCTCATGATGTGTACGCACTTAACATCTCTATCTTCGTAGTTAATAAACTTTTTCTTATTGTTTTATCAAATCCAGTGTGTTTGAATTGAAGTGTCTGGAAAACTCCATGTGGGGTGGTATTAGTTCTATTAAAGCAATAATGGGCTTGATATGAATTTGTACCGTCCAGGAGAGGACTGGGCAGTACAGGACACACAGTTCTGGGGGGAAATCTAAGACTCGGAGTGTGCTGGGGTCACCCTGCAGTATAATCAAGAGCCGGAGTGTGGCTGGCTGGCTGCAGCACACACACAGACATAACTGGGAGTGACTCGCATGCTGGAGGCTGTTTGTGAGCAGTCCAGACAGAGGCTACAGCAGCAAAGCCGTGCAAAGGGCACCCCAGGTTAGAGGGCTGGGGTGACACAGCTGCTCATTAGCCTGGATTGCACCCTGGGGATGTCACAGAAAGATCTAGTTGTACCAGTGAGGAATGGAAAGTGTCGGGGGAGGGGGTGTTGGTTGTAGTCTATCAGAAACACCGTGCTTGGAGACGACTAAGAGTTGAGAGCTCATCACACTGAACT